ACAAAGAATAAACTTAGTGATACTGTATTTAAGTATTTTGTATATTAAAGGTTTTCGTATCGTTTTCAAAATTTCATTGAGGACATCCATGTTAAGAGATGGGATTTCCGTTTTTAAATGTCGCAACACTTTCAAATTTCAAATATGATTTTTCTGGTGATATAGTGTATTCTATTGCATAATATTATAATAAACCATTTAATCTAACTAGGAAGTCCAACAATGCTCATTTCAGTGAAAATACTGTTGAATCCAATTAGGAAGTCCAACAATGAATGTATCAGTGAAGATACTGTTGATATAGACAATTGCAAAATGCGTTTTTGTGCGAAAAATATACTTTTTCTTGTATTTGGAGTTTTTTTAGCATCATGTTTGTGTTGTATTATGTTTGTTACGTCAGCAGAATATAATGGAAAGAACAAATACACTTTTATCGGGTTGATTTCATTAATTGTGTTGTGCATTGTATCGATACTTTCAACTTTCGCCGTTGTATTTTTGTCTGTGCGCGGACAACATGTTATTTCTAGAAATACATCGGACCATACACATGACATGAAATTAAAATTTATATACTTTTTTGGTGTTGGGAGTGTTGCCAATCAAATCATTCTATATATTTCTGAGTCAGTTTGTCGTAAACATATAAGACATATGGTTTTATACAGGATAGTTTTAATTGTGTATTTTGTAACGCAAACACTTTTTATTAAACTAATATCACATCAGCAATATTACCGATGGTCATTGCTCTATTTTAATTTGTCGGTGTTATTTATAACAAATATTTCAGTCTGGACACATTACAGCACTTTTAACAGTGTCTTGCATGATGCTAGTAGTAACTCGTCTATTAATTCATGCTTTATTTCAAATCTGTATAGAAGATCAAGACTTATAATGGAGCCGATGGTCCTAGAGTACTCATTACTTGCAAACCTTTTAATACTTGGCATGTGGCCAAAGCAGCAAACCCAGGAACACAGTATGGACAATTCACATCCGGAATACGAAACAATGGAAATGTCACCGCTTTTACTTCAATACAGGTCTAAACGATCAGGAATAAAGTTTTCAGTTCTTTGTGCTTTAATTGGAATCTTTATACTGTGTCCCGTCATAGTGTTTAGGATTCTTCACACCCATGGGGAGAATGACAAAACAATAGAAGTCCTTGTCAGTTATTATTTTTCAAACACAGTTCTGATTTGTTTGACAATTAAGTGCTTGCATTTATTATCGATTGAATGTCGTCATGGCAACACTAAAATTTCCCACTTATCTGGAAATATCGTTCTGCTATTTGGATCAAGTGGATACATGTTCTTTGTGACTGTATCCCTGTTTAATGACATTCATAGAAATGACAACGTGGAACAATCAACACGAGTTTTAGCCATTTATATGGAGTTGACTTTCATTTTGTCCTGCTTTTTGCAGTGTAGTCTCATTTTAGAGGCAGATAAATGTGTAAAGTTTTATAGAACAGACAAATTATTTTTCATCTCAGTTGAAAATCTATGTTTAATGTTAGGATTTATACATTTAGGAAGCTGGATTGACGTTTCATTTCTTTCGGAATCATACAGTATGCCTGGAGGTAACGAAGCTGCATTTTATAGTAAGAGGACATATGCAATACTTTATAATATTTTCTTTCCTTTTAGAGTTTTCTTTCATTTCAAATGTTTTATTTTCTTTTACGACATGTACCGAAGGTTTAAAGAATAACAATAATCAAGAATTATGTGTGAAAATGCCTTTGCTAGTATCGCAATTAAAGTTGTTGAAAAAAAAAGCAAAATATAATTGAATACATCCAATTCCATGAATTGCACACTTATATTAAATGAGTAATTTGTAAGGGTTCACTAAAACTGATGGGGCAGAATTAACAGTTTTTTTAATTCGTTCTTAAAATACATTCGTATTAGAATACTCTCATCGCAAAAAAAAAAAAAAAAAGAAGACAATCCGAATTTAAAAATACCATATCCGCTTCCGGGTGTTAACCCCAGCAAACTACCCTGAGTAGAAATTAGTGTAAATGATGCGTTAAAATGAAAATATACAATTATAGACTTTGTATAAGGTCGATATATGGATATACGACATAAAAGAAGAATATCGATCAGGGTTTCCTCTGGCGATGGCCATTTTCGAATTTGGCGAACAAATAATATTTGTGACGATTAAAAATCATGATTAGCGGAAGAACTTGGCAAAAGAAATATCCATCTTGTTTATTTTGTTTCAGGTTTCTCGGAGTTTTTCCCTGATCAAACAATACTCGGATTTTACCTTGAACTTTTCACTTGTATCGATTTGGACAGAAAATCAATAATCGGCTGATTGCATTTGATAGCAATCGGCAACAATGGACTCAATAATAAAGGTGTTAATTAAATTTTTTAATGGAAATTTGAGGTAAAATGTAACCGAAAAGATTTTTTAAACAACTTTGAAAAAAAATGGTTTCGAAGAGGGTACTTCACATCGTTTTAGTGGCGCACCTGTTTTTTTTTTTTGTAATTTTTTACGTCTCAACTTTTACTTTTGACGATGGTCCGGATAAGAAAACTGTTTTTTTGAAGAAAGGTGTCAAAAGTAAGAACAATCTCTAAATTTATTCCATGACTTTAACTAGGCAGGACGTATCTAATAAACTGAAGATGAATCCTGTGTTCCCAGAAATCAAATTTTACAGTATCGTTAAAAGATTACAAGAAATTTTTGTTGTAATTAAGAGTTTATTTTTTACTATGTAGGTTGTAACATAGATATGTAGAATGATAATAAATGAAACAAAAATGCTGCAAACTGGATTTGTTTGTTAGCGAAAAGAAAAACTAGTCTTAATCAAAAACCTGTTGATGATAGTTGGCGAAACAAATTGATAATGTTCTGGCGAAAGAGTGTTTTAAGTGTTCTGTCCATTGAATTACACAATGACTGTAGTTTAAACGTGCTGTTCCTCTTTCTGAAAGTAGGGGGCAGGGTGTGTAAATTATTAATTGTATGATTGCATAGATAAGAGCAAGGAAACTTAAAACAAGGTTAAATATTAAAGAAAACAAAAAAATGACACAAAAAGGGGGAATTGGGGTCATACCCGGCTTGTGACGAATGTCGGGAAAGGCAAGCATCATGTGTGTAGTTTATATATATTAAGCCCGTGTTCTTACATCTAAAACTTGCAGTATAAATCTTTCGTGAACTTCCTTGTCCAAATGCATTTAAAATATAATGATCAACGCATTATTGGTTGCGCTATATCCGTGGCAAAATTTTATGTTTTTCTCATACATGTACAGAACGTAAAGAGTTCAATAGAACTTCACACTAGATAGTGAACGGATGGGACATAATAGACTTTTTGAGTGCAAAACGGAAAACTGGAAAACAATGGTGAGTTAGGTCAACTAGATGAATTTTGCCGTTTCATATTATTTTCACACATATTGCTCATCAACCGTTATTTTTCTTGTATATAAACACTAGATATCCACGCCTTTCTTGGAGAAAATTATGAAAATGTATTGTTGAGAAACCTTTAAGCATCCATGAATTTCTTAATAGATAATTTTGTTACGTTGTGCAATATCAGATTTGTGCGAATACCAAATTAAACATACGTGGGAAATTAGAAATTCATTTTTACGATATGCAGGAAAGTACAAAAATACCGAGCTCCATGGTAAATTCAAAAATGGGAAGTCCATATTAACTGACAAAATTAAACGTTATCGACCAACGGAACGAGGGAAAACAACTGTCATTGGGATCCAGTAGCCAAAACTTTGTAAACATACATCACAGACATTCAACATAACTCAATGAAAAATTCAAACAAACATACAAATAAATCTAACAAAGACGCAAAAAAAAAAGAGGTGTAGTTGATAGTAACTTTAACAAAGACGCCAACAAAAATTTTTTTGTAGGTGATAGTAATTGACAAAGACGCAGATAAAAAAGTTTTTGTAGTTGATAGTTCTTACTGTTTATAGTATCCATTTTCTAGATAAAAGTACGAACTAAATAAAATATAAATACAACGGTAAACGAAACGGAAACAAAATGTAAAAACATCTTGCGTCTAAATCGCACCTCAGGACCCACCGGAACCAGGAACCCCAAAAATCAAAAACTCGACAGCAGGATGTATAAATACCGAGTCACGTCAAAAGTCATACGACCAAAAGAAACACAATAGCACGAAGACAAATAAGAGAAAACCGAAAAGTAAATAAAACGATACCTAGAATCTATAACTCAAAAGATGCAGATAAAAAGATACTATATACGGTAAGAACTATCAACTACAGAAACTTTTTTTATCTGCGTCTTATCGCTATCTTGTGTTATTTGTGAAGTAGACACAGAATATTTATCTATTAGGTCTGGGTATTTTCCGATGAACTTTTTGGGAAAAAGCATGAAATGTTTCTTGCAAGATTTAGCGCGCGTGGTTTATACTAGTTAATGAAGAAAAAAATGATAAGTGCAAGAAGTATCACCTTGTTACAAATTGTCAGCATGAAAAGCAATGATGCGTTGGAAAATTCAAATTTAAATTAGATTTATTTAAAATAACACAAATGGTACCCATCTTACTGCACCAGATGCGCATTTCAAAACTAAATTTCTCTTAAGTGATGCTCGAGGCCAAAATATTTGAAAATCCAAATCTTATTCAAAAAGTGAAGAGATGATAAAACCAAAAGAAACAAAATGGATAGAAAAAGCCGGGCAAGGAATCGTAGCTTTGCACGACGAAGATTTAGTCCTTAATTTAAAATAAGTTTCAATTTTTTTTAAAGCTGAAGACTAAATGTATCTACGATTATTTAAATTTACATATTTTTAAAATTTAGATAAAGAATATTATGTGTACAACAATAATGCACTTCCTTGGGAAAAATACAACAATTTGAATCTTCCTGAATTTTCTTTCAACTTGAGACACTTTTAAACAGAAGTCAAATAAAAGACATTTATTAAAGACTAGCCTTAAGTACAACACTTTACAAAAAGGTTACAATTGAACACCATTTAGAATTTTTATCAAACAAGGAAATATTTGAATTCAATTGTATTCAAAGAAGCTTACCTGTGTTCAGTGTCAAAGTTGAATAAAAAATTCAAACTGTTTTGCAAAAAATGTCGTCTGATTTAAAATGGATTGTATTGCTGTTTTCCACTGGTGTTCCATCAATTAACAGATCCTATAGAAATGATGGTAGTATATCCGGTCTTATTGTTCTGTTTCTAGTGGCATTTATACCAGTTTCATGTTGTGTCGTGTTCTTATCTTCATTTTAGGGTCGAAAGGTCACGGATTCGACGATACTTACCTCATAGTATTGTGTGTATTGGATTTTTAGCTTATATATGGTGATAATTTATATCAATGCAAAAAGAATTACTAGAAATTGTAGCGATACATTGTATAGACGGGACAAAACAGCCTAGTGAAAACTAAAATTTCTATACCTTTTCGGAGCCTGTGGATTTGCATACCAGAAATATAGCGTATATTCACACGTCCATCTTGATTACATTTTAGCAGTTAATTGTTATAGTCTTCACCGTAAGCTTCATCTTGGTAACCAACGTTGCTGTGTGGACTTACTATACTGTTAATGGATATTACATTACGAAGGACTATTACTCCGTGTCAAGTATAAGTGACTGTAATTATAATTCAACATTGATCTCTAAAGTGTATTGGAGATCAAGAGTGATAGTTGATCCGATGATAATGTATGCATTGCTTGCCAGCATATTCGTGTTTGAAATGTGGCCACTGTACTTACAAAAGGATCAGTCTGGCGAAATAGATACTAGAAGGAATATGGAAGAACTTGAAGACAGATTGGAGATTTGCAGTATAAACGTGTATAATCATATAACAGAGACAGCTCCGCTTATTCAAAACAAAGGCGAGGAAACCAAATGTTGTTTCTTTCATTTCAAATGTTTTATATTATTCTATGGTATCTTTAAGAGATTTGCGTCATAGCCATACGAACCAATCAAATTTGTTTATGTGTGTTGTTGTTTGGTGATGATATACCGGTATGTATAACGAGTAATAGCTTTTCTAAAAAGCTTGCCGTTTTTTAGCTTATTATATTGAAAAATTCTTTTTTTTTTTAAATCGTAGTTTCATCCATTCAAAATATTCCTCTGCATATATTGTATTAGGGTAAAAGAAGTGGAACATTGGAAAGGTCTATATAGTATTTTAAGGGTTACCATTTTATTTTTGTGCGTGGCGATTTTTATCCCCTTGAAAGAGCTTGATTTTTTAGATCACTTGCGTTTTTGTCTATAATAATTTCGGTAAAAAATTTTATGAATAAATTTTCAGCAGACATGTCATTTATTAACTCTCTGTTTGATTGTTTGTGTTTAAGAAAAGTGCTTCTATATCTTACTCGAGTCGGTTTCAGTAGTGTTTAAGACATGTTATGAAGTAAAGTGAATACATGTGTGTCAACTCCTTTTCAACGGGTTCTTACAATTAGTTCTTACATAATAGAAAAGAAAGGATATGGAGTACCGGTATCCATCCATGACACAAAATCAGTTCATGCACAGCAAAAACACTAAAAGCAAAGGAACAACGCTTTTATTGATGTATGTTGCGCTTTAACACCACTGTGCCAGGTTAGGGGTAGGTTGGGCGCCCGCAAACATGTTTAATCCCGCCAAGTTCGATTTGTGGCTGTACCTAAATCATGAGCCTGAATTTCATTGGTTGTCGTTTGTTGTTGTGTATTATATTTGCTTTTCGTTTATGATTGTTTTGTACACAAATCAATGACATGCCGTTAGTTTTTGTCGTTTGAAATTGTTTACAATTGTCATGTCGGATCCTTTTATAGCTTGCAATGTGGTATGTTTGTTTTCTCATTGTTTAATGCCGTAGGTTGACGTATATTTGCTAACATCTACGTCATTTTATCTCTGGTGGATATTTACCTCATTGGTTATCATACCACATCTTCTTATTTTTATGTTATAAATATATGACTGGCTAATTTTCTGGACCATGGCAAACATATTTACTAAAACCATATATGGTTTTGAACATTCGCTAGAATTCACATGCATCGATCAAAGTTAAACTATATACCATTTGTTGTCAGAACATTATAATACAAACATGTACATGAAGCTGTGATTATTGTTTTCTCAGATGTTAGCAGACGGAGTTCGTTCCTATTCATTGCCTTAAGGTCTCCTAAATTTGTGTATGTTAATTTTGCTATTTAAAGGATTTTGTGTTGATTGCATATTTTGGAAGTCTTTGTAAAATTATCCACAATTATCTATATATGAAAATTTAGAGCTTGAAATATTGTAAAGACATGTTTCATTGAAGAAAATAGAGTGTTGAACTGTTTAGCGTTGGCGTTAATTTGGTTGCTGTCTTATTTATAATACCCAACCAGAGGCTCCAGAGGGGCCCTGGTGGGTTGGGGGGGGGGGGGGGGCGCCCACCTTTCGTGGAAAAAAATTGGTTGATTATATAAGGAATCACTGAATCATGACTGTAGCGGGCCCCCTCTTATGGCAGTCAGTGCCCCCTCCCCCCACCCCCCTTATAAAAAGTTCTGGATCCGCCACTGCAAACATCTTCTTTTACTAACACAAATAAATCTGGCAACGCTTTAAATTATTCTTCATGTAAATATGTAGGAATCTGAACCGCGATGGTACTCCGAACCGCGATGGTCACGCTGAAATGCGATGGTGGCATTGTGACACTATCTTGTTGTTGGCTACGCCGAAGTGCGATGGTGGTAACGCTGAATTGCACTGGACTACATAATCTATATTTTTCATGTTTACATGCCAATGTAGATATCAATTGGTTTGTCAGAGGTAGTTTTTCATTTTTCCTTTAAATGGAAAACTGTTTCAAGCTTAAACACAGTTTCTTAATCACTTCAAAAACAACTATCTAAGTTTTTTGTTTTGTTATAACAGAGGGTTGAGAGCAGAAGTTTGATAGTCTCTGTTTACTTTCCTAGAATCGAAGCCATATGGTCTTATAAAAAAATGTTCTGTTTTCCATTATAGGTGTTCCCGTCAAGTACCAAACGAAAAGATACACATCGCCCTATAGATGTAGTATTCTACCATTACAAGGAAATTACAGTAAATGAACTCAGTTTATATTATACCGAAGACTGGTGATTTAAATGAATTAAGCAAATAATGTTAAAAAAGGTTTTTTTTAAAAGTACACTTCTAAAAAATATCATATTAAATAAACAAATATTAGAATAAAAATATTGAAAAAATCAACCCGAGGTCTTAGGTATAGTATTACAGATATAGCAGGATAGAATTTAACGTGGATATTCTCAACAACACAATACAACAAATGGAAGTTTTTAACGACCTTGACTGGATATACATCCCTCGCACGGTCGGTAAATCGAACAACACAATGAACAGTTTCTGGGACGTTTATCCTGACAAACTATTTACTTATAATATCGTTGCCTCAATTATAGGTACATTTTTTGAACAACTATGACTTTTAATTAAGAAATAGGCATACACTAGCAATACAAGCGCTGTTTCTTTGCTTTTTGTGTTTTTAGCCGTGCATGTACTGATTTTGTGTCATGGATGAGTATCCCATATCCTTTCTTTCCGTGGTTTCCTTTACTTGATGCTTTACCCTAGGTATGTTATCTTTTCTAAAAGCAAACTTGTTTTTATATAGCATTGTTATAGAACATTTGCTGCCCTCTGGAGGTTTTTTCTTGTGTAACTGCGTTGTAAGGATGTTGTTTCATTATGATATACAGACAAATTTACTCATTTGTGTCAATATACCGGTATATATAAAAACAAATAAAATACGTAATACTCGGGTATTTAAAGTCTAAAATTTCTAAAAAAAAATATGTAAATGCATTTAATGCACGGATAGGACTACTATAGTTTACTCCGTCGACAAAGATTAAACTTAGCGATACTGTATTTAAGTACTTTGTGTATTAAAGGTTTTCGTATCGTGTTCAAAATTTCATTGAGGACATCATACATCTTGTTTAAATGTATTATGTTAAGAGATGGGATTTCCGTTGTTAAATGTTACAACACACCAAATTTGAAATATATTTTTTCTGGTGAAGAAGTGTACTCAACTGCATAATATTATAATAAACAATTGAATCCAACTAGGAAGTCCAATTATGTTTATGTCATTTTATGTATTCAAAATTTCTGTTGATATAGACTAGACAAGTGTAAAATGCGTTTCTGTGAAAAAAACGTACTTTTTCTTGTATTTGGAGTTATTTCAGCATCATGTTTGTGTTGTATCATGTTTGTAACATCAGTAGAATATAACGGAAAGAACATATATACTTTAATTGGTTTGATTTCATTAATTGTGTTGTGCATTGTATCGATACTTTCATCTTTCGCTGCTATAGTTTTGTCTGTGCGCGGACAACATGTTATTTCAAGAAATATAACGGACCACACATATGATATGAAATTAAAATTTATATACTTTTTTGGTGTTGGGAGTGTTGCCAATCAAATCATTCTATATATTTATGAGTCGGTTTGTCATAAATATATTAGACATAGGGTTTTATACAGGATAACTTTAATTGTGTATTTTGTAACGCAAACACTGTTTATTAAACTAATATCACATCAGCGATATATCAGGTGGTCGTTGCTTTATTTTACTTTGTCTGTGTTATTTATAACAAACATTTCAGTCTGGACACATTACAGCGTTTTTAACTTGCATGATGCTAGTAGTAACTCGTCAAATAATTCGTGCGTTCTTTCTAATCTGTATAGAAGATCAAGACTTATAATGGAGCCGATGGTCCTAGAGTACTCATTACTTGCAAACCTATTAATACTTGGCATGTGGCCAAAGCAGCATACTCATGAACATAGTATGGACGATTCACATACCGAATACGAAACAATGGAAACGTCACCGCTTTTATTTCAATACAGGTCTACAAGATCAGGAATAAAGTTTTCAGTTCTCTATGCCTTAATTGGAATCTTAATTCTCTGTCCCGTCATTGTCTTTAGGATTCTTCAAATCAACGGGGAGTATGAAAAAACAATAGAAGTCCTTGTCAGTTATTCTTTTTCAAACACAGTTCTGATTTGTTTGACAATTAAGTGCTTGCATTTATTATCGATTGAATGTCGTCATGGCCACACAATTTCACATTCATCTGGAAATATCGTTCTGCTATTTGGATCAAGTGGATATATGTTCTTTGTGACTTTATCCCTGTTTGAAGACATTCATAGAAATGACAACGTGGAACCATCTACACGAATTTTAGCCATTTATATGGAGTTGACGTTCATATTGTCTTGTTTTTTACAGTGTATTCTCATTTTAGAGGCAGACAAATGCGTAAAGTTTTATAGAACAGACAAATTATTTTTCATCTCAGTTGAAAATCTATGTTTAATGTTAGGGTTTATACATTTAGGAAGCTGGATTGACGGTTCATTTCTTTCGGAATCACACAGTATGCCTGGAGGTAACGAAGCTGCATTTTATAGTAAGAGGACATATGCATTACTTTATAATATTTTCTTTCCTTTTAGAGTTTTCTTTCATTTTAAATGTTTTATTATCTTTTACGACATGTACCGAAGGTTTAAAGAATTACAATAGTCAAGAATTTTAGAATTCTGTGTGAACACGTTTTACAAATACAGCAATAAAACGTGTTGTTTAAAGGGGCATTAGCTGTCAAATTCATATTCACCGATTTGACTCAAATTCTCATTTTTGATTTATAACATACTAAAACGTATATCCAAATTATAAAAAGTCTAAATAAACAATTTACGATGCATGTACTCGGTAATATGTATAAGCTTTTCGTGTGTATTTTTGTCTAGACGCCATCTAATTAGCCATCCAAAGACAGTCGACGGTCATATATAACCCGATATAAACATAAACATAGGTATAAATAGACAGTGAAAACGTGCAATTGGATTTTTCTAGGTCTGTTTGATTTCAGATGATAAGTTAAAAAAATATGTTAATCATCGTTTTTACCTGTGTAAGAATGCGCTTTTGTGGATCGAATCAGTCAACCAAATGGTTTACCATTTTTTTCACTTTCAATGTTAACATCCTTTTCCTTTTAATAGCTGAACACGCCTAGTTCATGCATAACCCATCTCTAGCTAAGGGATTAAATTGAAGGTCACATGAATACGGATTGAATAAGGTCGAATTATTCACTTGCAAGTGAATAATTCATCAGCGATGTTTCCTAGCTTATATTGACAAAACTGAACCAAAATGACGGCTAAAAGCGAATTATTATTTCACTATTTAACTTTCATATATGATTGAACCAAAAAAAAAAATCTTTTTTATTTGTTTTTATTTCTCGTAGCTAATGCCCCTTTAAACAGCAAAATATTCGTCAATAATAAAGTTTGTGCTTTCTCGGTCAGGCAAAAACATGGCCACCATGGCTATAAATAGAGCATAAGGTAAAATTCATTCATTGTCTCATATCTTGAAAATGATAATAGATAGAGAAAATCTGACGAGGGAAAACACTCAGCATGTCAAGTTCGACATACTTCATAATCCCACCATACAAATCAGATTATTCCTAAGGAGTTATTGCAATGAAATGGAGATTTTTCAGGACTTTCCGTGCTTTTGTCGAAATATGCGGATCAGAGTTTCCTGAATTAATCCAATAGTTCTTAAACAGAACATGATTTACTTACTAGTTATAATTGGCTTTGAACTAGCTTGCAGTAAATTCGAGTACTCTTATGTCGGTGCTTTGTGTTAATTGTTTTTTTGTGCTTCGTAATTTTTGCCTTTTGTACTGTATGACTATTTCCTCAATTATACATAAACAAATTAGGTCTATTGTTTTCTATAGTTATTTCCTTTAACAAACAGTTCGTTATGAATAAAGTTACATGTTATATTGCCATAAAAGGCAACTTTAAACAATACGGAAATAGATCTCCCATATATACATGTAATATAATTTGGTCGTTGTTTTTTGAAAGACACACAATTGAAAGGGAAAATGGCCAGCAATTGTCTTAATGTTCTAAAGGCCATTTTCATTTTGCCTTTTACTGCAGGTCTTGTGAAGGAAAGACGGACTGTAGGATTTTCCTCACATGACGGTAGCATTTCTGTGTGTGTCCTTTTAACAACAACCATTGCAATAATTATAGAATTGATGAATAATTACATACATCATGACTTTCCACTACGTATTCTGATTATTGCACTGTTATGCATTGGGATAATTACTTTAATTTTTTGTTCAGTAATACTATCTTTATGTGGAACATGGCGTATAGAAAAAGAAATAAAAGTTAGTAACCGACTCAAATTATTCTTCTTGTGGATATTTTGTTGTGGTAATATAATTTATCAGGTGGTTGATCTTGTAACGGAATTTGAATGCGGCGTTTCATCTGACCTATTACTTTCATCTGTGTATTACATTTTGACATGGGTTTTCACTATTGGACAAACAATTTTTATACAGTGTTTTTCAAAATACCGATTTGCAAATAAAATCGGTTTATATTATGGAATACTACTGATTTTCTTGACTAATATTTCATTATGGATGAGTAGAAATATTGACATGTATTACGAAGATGTCAAAAAACTGAGAAACGAAACCGACCCTTTTTGTGGCAACAATACCGTTTTCATTTCTAATGATGCAAAACATATTTTTAACTCCTTTCTTGATCCTGTGTTGTTGGAATTTTGTTTGCTTAGCCTGATATCTTTATCGGAATTATGGCCAAAGCAAATATCGCATAACACGGACAATGACTTACAGGAATCCGTAGTATTGTCCGAGGAAATTGGAGAACGTGAATTATTGCTATCTGGTGACACTTTGAATGATATAAGGACACCTTGGAATTTGCAATCCGTAACTATAGTGATAATAGGATTGTTATGTATCCTAATTTTATGCATTGTGATCTCCTTTTACATGTTTTCAGAAAGAGGAAAAAAACTTCCGTTAGCAATTCACAATTTTTTCACGTGTGTAGCAGTTCTTCGCATTCTTCTTATTTTTATTTGTTTTTATTCCCTCTCTGTGCAACTGACACCAAGAACAAAGAATCGCAAACTTATGAATATGCATCATTTTATCATTTTAACAAGTTCTGTTGCGACATGTGCCTACTATGCTGTACAGCGAACCATTGTATTTTCCACTCTTCGGTCAATTGCAACAGTGCTTCAGACAATATTTATATTACAGATGAAACATTATCGGAAGGTAAATCTTACGAACAGATTTTTTTCAATTCAAAACGTGTTTCTCATCTTGTCAATCGACAATTTGGCGGTATGGATCTTCTATACCTTTGCGTACGGTCACAAATATATCAATTTGTTATATACACCGATCACTTTTGACGTTGTTACATGGATTAAGTATAATCATTTCTGGGTACCGTTTGTTATGTTTTATCACTTTGAATGTTTTATTTTATTTTATTGTCACTTTTCAGAATGATATATGAATATTGATAAATAGTACCATAGAAATTTGGAAAAGGGTTTAATATATACTTTCCCTAATATTATCTAAAGAAAAATCCTACTGTCTTGTATTACACATAAAGTTGAAAATTTCTTCAACCAATATGAATAAAAGGAAGTTTGGGGTAAACGTCAATGGGACAGCATTATGTCAAAAACACAAGTTAACCCAAACAGACACCTAGAAGTCGATACATAGAAGTAAAACCTGCTTAGAAAATTGACAAACGTTAAACACGTTTCAACAACAATATACCTCAATTTATAATTAAGGAATGACTGTAATATTTTTTCTGTCTATGAAGAAATAACATCAAAAATGTGGTGCACACTGAATAACCCGCGTAGCGGGTTATTTTAAAGTGTGCACCACATTTTTTTATGTTATTTCGAATAGACAGAAAAAATATTACAATCATTTCTTATAATTTAATTCTCAGTTCCATTTTAAACCGGAGTAAACCATGAAAAAACGTTGATGACGTCACGGTCACATGACAAAATTATGTCTATGAGCTGATAAACAAAACAACGTCAGCCAATCAGAAGACGCGTTACATCCAAAATTAAATTATTATAAAATAAAGACACCAACATAATTTCTTAATTGGAACAAAAAATCCATATTGGTTGTTAAACCAAAGCTTTGAATCAATCTGTATGTTTTGTGATTCTTTAATAATTGTTAGAAAGAGCCTTTATCAATTGCTAGTGATAAAAGAGAGGCGAAAGATACCAAAGGGACAATCAAACTCATAAGTCGAAAATAAACTGACAACGCCATGGCTAAAAAAGAAAAAAAGATCAACAGAAAAACAACTGTACACAAAACACAACATAGAGATCAAAAGACTGAGCAACACGAACCCTACTAAAAACTGGGGGTGATCTCATAATAGACAATACTGGATCCAGTAAACAAGGCATCGTTTACATGATCAATCCGTACAGGTTTGAAGAAATCGTTAAGACGTATGACATATTGTCCTAGGCCAAAACAAAGACATTATGGAATTGAATCCATACATAGTTATTCAATTGATCCTAGATAAAGTTACAGAGTGGTCAACAATAGGTCGTTTTACAATCTGGTTATGACTATTAAGGGTACTTAATAGAATTATTCATTTTGCTACCTGACAAATTAAGGCCTTCATGACTTATTGGCCGTTAGGGGATATCTGAGACAAATATGACCAACGAATTGTTCCACTTATTGTAATAACATCTGAACAGTTGAAGGACCATATAATTAAAATGTGAAATCTCCCAAATATGTGGCATGCTATACGTCAATGTAAAAGAAAGACTATATATAATCAGTAGTTATTGCATGGGCACTTATCACGAATCGGATCCCGACCGCGTTTAAGGTATTTATAATGTGGTCTGAAAGATATTTGTTGGATTTTTTACTAGAGCTTGCGGTGAATACTCTTGTTTTCATGAACAGAAACATGCTATAGGAAAGTATAGACTGTATTGTGAAAGGATTTAAGCTTCTATATGAAGATAAAGATAAGGAGATGTGGTATGATTGCCAATGAGACAACTATCGACCAAATTGGAAATGAAGTGGATGTAAGCAACAATTGGCAACCGTACGGCCTTCAACAAGGAGAAAACCCCATACCGTATGGTCGGCTTAAAAAGGCATCGACATGAAAGATGTGAATCAATTCAATTGAGAAAACTAACAGCCTAATTTATAACAAAACAATTTACGAAGAACACATATGACAGACACAAATCAACGACAAACACTGAACTACAGGCGCCTGACTTAGGACGGAAACAAAAAGAATGTGGCGGGGTTTAACGTGTTAAAGAATGCTCAACCACCATCCCTAACCTGGATTAGTGGTGTACCAGCACGACATAAGAACAAACTATAAGAATAATTTACAATTGTCTTAACTCAAAAGATCGGTACGAGGAACAGATAACAAAAACAATTGACACAAAACACCGAAATAGGAGTACTCGCAGTTACTGAAAGATAGTTCAAAGCCAATAACAACTAATGAATAAACCATGTTCTTCCAGACTAAAATATCCATCACTGCACATCCAACGAATTTAGTGTAAAGACGTCATACTATATGTTTGATTATTTGTTTCTCACTAATGATATTTGCAATGCGAGATGAAATACATTCGGAATGAACATGGTCTTAACACGTTTTACATCTTCAACATTTTAAGATATGAGCATATTTCTAAATCACGCATAACCAAGAGGTTCTGTTCTTAATCACTAAATAAAGTATTTAACATACCGTTTATATTGCCTTCAATGTGTACTTTGTCTAAATTTACATTTTGCACGCTTAGAGTCGAAAATAATTGCAACAAACGATAGATAAATATATTGGAAGTCATATTACCAAGACATGTCTGAAAAAAAAATCCGTCTAAGCAATTAAAATAAAATTGGCTTTGAATGTATGAAGGCTTAAAACACTGACTGAGTACAGTTTAAATATCTCGGAACTAACAGATCAATCGTGGTATCGAACTTATAGCAGGAAATCAAAGTGAAACGTAGTTATTGATGTATAGTGCGCATGTCTGGGATGATATTCACAAAGAACAGTTTTTAATCTTTGTTGTATTCATTTCAATATCAATTATTATTTTATATTCATTAAACAATGTTTTTTTTAAATGTTACCATGGAGTTTTCTTTTAGCTTTGACGTAACCTACTCTATTTATTTTGACGGTCTTTTTGACATATGTTATCCACAGTCTTCTAAACATTGTCTTGCCAAAATTATACATAGCATATGAGATTGGGTATGTTATTAAAAACTAGCAAGAACTCTATATTTTCATAATTTAAGGTAAATCCAGAAAAGCTCTTCGGACGCAAAAAAATAAGAAGTGTTGTTTTCTTTTTTTACAGCACTGGACCGATACCACTGCTGGTAGACCGGCAGTCGCCGAATGTATCAACAGCCCAGTAAGCAGTACTTCGGTACTGACATGATTTATAACAAACGTTTCTAAAACTGTTCTTTTAAAAATTTAGAAATTATCAAGAAACTTAAGGCTTCAGCTCCCTCTGGCAAAGTTGATCTTATGATGATTTGGATATTTCGTTAGGTACTTTCTTGTCATCTAGTTCTTCAACTGTTTCGGTTTTTATACATCCTTGACTTTCAAATATTCGGCTTTGAGCGTTCCTAATGAAAGTAAATTCAAGAATAGCGCTTCGGACGCCTGAAAGTTTTAGAAAATGTGATGTCACAATAAGTTCCTTTGCTGTGCGTATTGTGGGTAATTTGATTTTATGTTAGATAACAAATAACAAATGAAACCGACTTAAAAAAAATACTGTTGTAAAGAATGAAGTTTTATTGAACCGACTTTTTTTGCGTTGCGGTTTTGGCACGACTGATTGACTCGACTAGCAATGAAATGTTCTTGCTATTCTGAGAGGCAAAAATCGTATAGCGGTTTAAAACTATTCATATGCCTTCTAGGAGTTTGGTCTACATTGCAGGATTCTGTAGTCCATTATCTTTTTTGTTTATGCCCCCGCCGTGGGTGACGGGCATTAAGTGTTACCCTTAACCGTCCGTCTTTCCGTCCGACCCATTTCCGTTTCTGCACTCTTATTTAAGTTTGCCGCATGCAAATTTAATGAAACTCATACACAATGCTAATAACCACGACAAACAGTCAGAGTTCGGACAGGGAGTCATTGCCCTTTTTAACTTGGAAAATTGCAAAGCTTGATCGGGGGCATTCGTGTCCTCAGACACATTCTTCTTTTATTTTCTATCTATTTTTAGTTTGCTTGCATGATTGTGTTTTTTATGTTTGTATGTACTTGGTTAAAAGTTCTGTAGAGCGTATGTTTTGTAGTTGATACATGTGAAACAGCTTATATCAGAATGTTATGTTCTCTGTTGTATATTACACTTTATTATTCGGGACTTTTTATGGGTACTATATGGGATTTCCTCATTGCTGAAGACAGTTCGTTAACTGGTGGCTGTTTACATCCTTTTCCTTTGGCCAGTCTGCCAAAAGTTAAGCACCACCTAAATATAACTGGCAATAATTTTTTAACTATTGTGAAAAAAATATTTATGTTTGGTGTTATGAATTGCCTATAACATACACTACGAAATTTCATTACGACCAACAAAAATAAACTCCGATAAACACGCCAAGCATTTTTTTTTATTAAAGGTCATCTGCACTTTTTCGAATACACTGTTTCGATGCCTTTAAATCATCTTCCTACTGTCCCGCGTACAGGTGAAATTTGACCTTCACCAAGTCACTGTGAAATATGGCAAGGGGTAAGTTATATGTGACTGAATCTTGACAAGTAATTGACATGTCAAATGCCGGTAGAAGCACTAGTTGCATAGGTAACCATTTCAATGTTAAACACATCGTCATTGTCAGATTTTTACAACGTCATGTTGACACAGGAACTGTACATGATAGACCAAGGTCCGGAAGACCCCGTTTAACTACCGATCGTGATGACAAACTCCTTATTGGTTGTGCTAAAGCCAACCAATTTACTCCTGCCCCAAAACTTAGACACCACTGGCGTCAAGGTGGTCATGTTAGTGTTCGAACATTGGTCCGTCGACTTCATAGAGGCTACATAAGACCACGTCGTGTTGTCAAGAGACCTGCCCTAACAGCCAGGCACTGTATAATCAGGTTTCAAAGGGCTAATGACCATCGACGCTGGAACATGAGAAGCTGGCAAAATGTTCATTGGTCAAATTATAGTCAGTTTCTGTTACGACTAATAGACAGCAGAACACGAGTTTGTCGTGGAAATAAAACTGCTAATGACCAAAAACAACATTTGCCTAACGACTGCATACGTTGCTAATGGTGTTACAGAATGGGGTTTCTTCTCATAATGTTGTTAGATGGGTATGCATATTCTGCAGGGTAACATGAACGGACAGACATACAGGGATTTGGTGCTTAGAAACATTGTAGTCCCTCATTTTGATAATCCTCTACTTGCTTCAAGACCCTTGTGCATGTACGGCAATGATAGACCACACAGGGCAAGGATTGTAACCGAGTCCAAAGAGTACAAAGAGCAAGAAGCCATTGACACTATCTTTAAGCCTCCCATGTCTCCATACATGAACCCTATTGAACATGTCTGGGATGTCATTGGCAGAAATCTCAATTGCAGAGATCCACCTTTGCAAAATCTTAGCGATTTAAGAAGCGCAATTGTTGCTGAATGGAATAAATTTGCTCAACTAAAGTTCAGAAGGCTTGTACAGAGTATGAGACTCCGTGTTATGGAACTGTACCGGAAGAGAGGGTGTTACACATCCTATTGACTCAAATATTGACATTAAATTTGCCAAACATACCAAAGATTTTTGGTGGAGACTTTTAATGATATTGGGTGATTAATTGTTGTAAAAAAATAAAATCACAGTGAAACTTAAATTCATTTTCACAATTTCTAAGAACGCAAATTTCAAATGCATAGAACCTGCATACGTGAACAAACTTAAGTCTACGGTTTGTTTATGGTATATGTTAGCAAAATTGCTACATGAATATTTTCTCTTTTTCGAGGATTAACTGATTTTTTTAAATGAAAAAAATTTCGATGCAATAAAAATAGGTGGTGCTTAACTTTTGGCGGACTGTATATATCTCATGTGCAAAAACGACAAATAATGATAGGATTGCAATTCAGACATTGATGTATCTCTACCCATATTTCATAAACATTAAACGAGATACCTGATGAGAGTATTAATACGAAATTCAGTCTTTTACCGTTGCAGGTAATATATATGTATATATATATATATATATACATAGAACTGCTTCTTTCTAACCAGTGTGTGCATGTTACGTTTTTGTGGTATTTTTTATTAATGAAAAATTCAATTCCGTGTCTCCAGAAATATAAATTCTTAATTGAAAAAAAATCTAACATTTAACGAAATTCAATGATTAACAGTACAAAATAACAACAACAAAAATCTAACAAGTGATAAAAAGTTCATGTCGTTGACTGACTAGACATATATATATTTACACATAGCCCTGTATTGTATCAAAATTTACCCTGCAATCGTCAGTTCACATAGGCAACCATACAAATATCATTTTTTTTATAATAAGCGTATTTAGCCTGGTGTATGACGTCACCTCTCAAATTGACCATGACGTGCTTACAAGAAAAATACATGTTTCCTGTACATATTATTCTAGTGGCGATGAATTCTCAGCCTTTTTTTCCAAGACGAAACAATTATCTGTTATTGCCTTAAATAGTGATTAAGTGCTCGTCAAAAATATCATCGATCTGAATAAAAATTGTCGCTATTTCATCAATAAACTGTAAAACACATTCTTCACAAAAAATTACGTTTTTAAAATGTAATAAAAGGTTTATATCAGTCTCATTAAGTAGTTATCGTATGCCAATAGCACGTGTCTAAATAACATTATGAAAATATTGCTGTTTTTTAACTGTTAAAAAGGAATTATTATATATATAATAAACAATATTTATGATGTGGTCTAACAAATACCCCCCATCTGAATAGAAGAAGATGTGGACAAACTTCTATGGGACAAAAGACAAACGGCACAAAAGGACAAAAGATATCTAGAAATTCACACGGTTGTTTTTTAAATCGAAAGTCCGTAAATATCAATGGTAGCGTTATTTATAAAGTTTAATAAGGTTTGTTAAAGTCGTTGAAAAGAAAATACAACCTTCTTCTGACGTGAAAGAACATTAAGTTTTAATCACATCTAATAAACATTAAAATAATCGCAAAAATAGTTTTAAGCTACAATTGTGACCTACCATATTTGAAAAAAAAATAATTTAGAAACTGCTAGTTGTATAATAAAGACTTTTCTTTTTTTCATCTTTGTTTTTTTTTTCATTATTTGCTTCTATATTTTGCTTATTAACCGAACAGTTCTTACACCAACCTGACACCTACCATATGAATTATGAATTATAACAATTTGATATTTTCATCTACGTATTTTATGCAATACACTAATTTTCAAGGTGTTTGACTACCGGAAAAATAGATTTAAATGTGAAGACATATAGCTATTTTAATGTACCTTTTGACAAGCATCCTTGTGTATAGATATAAAAAAGATGTAAAAGTTAACCAGCAATCATTTGGTCTATAAGAGGAAACGCTTTGCCGTCAAAACGATTGATATTTTATTCTAAACTCTGATACTTGAGCCACATTCTATTTCATTGAGTTAATAGCTTATAAATAACTGCTGTATGAATTGTTTTCTCTGCTTTTGGGGTATGAAAATCCGAGGTCAATATCTTGCGGTGTCCTGGCCCTGGAAATACGACCACTATTTAGGGACAGTTTATTAAAACTTTTCTTGTCTTCTTCGCTGATCAAATAATCAAGGTCTCCTTTGCTTACCCCTTCTCCTTCAGATTGCTGACTTTTATTTCCGTCTTTTTCATTTGTCTGAAAACCAAAATTGTTCAGTTTACTTATATTCTACTTTTAATACAAAAAAGTACCAAAAAAAAAATCATAAACATTTACTTTTAACTATCGCATGGCTCTTGATCTTGTTCATAATGCTAGCAATAGTATTAGTTTTGTTTTCTGGTTGAAAATATCATCAGAATCTCAATGTTTAAAGTAAGGACTTTTGAATGACAACAACCAGATGTGAATTTTACGTATTGTAAAATATCTGGTTTGTCATATAATCGTTGCTCTGTCAGTATTGTTAATACTAAAAGCAACTGCACAAGAGAATATGTTGTAATTAATTATTTCGAGAATAAAATGGAATATTTAGAAGTTATCTTATCAGAAGTAGGTAAAATAGACCAGTCGATAACCTTGCAAGACGGTATCCTTGGGCACGTAAATATTGCATCAAATATGACTGTAAGTTCCGGAGGTATAATCAGCTCAAAAGTCAATGCTTCGGAACTGCCATGATTTAAAACATACTTATTTAAAATTCCCCAAAAATATTCAGAAATAAAGGTTCCAGCTCTCTCAGGCAAAGGTAACCTTACATGTAGATATTTGGCTATTATGTATAGGTTCTTTTTTGTCATGTAGCTCCAAACGTTTCTAAGTATGTATACATCCCAGGCTTCCAAATGTTTAGGTTTGATCTTTTCTGATGAAGGTAAATCTAGAACAGCGCTTCGGACGCACGAAATTAATCAAGTGTTTATTTCATTTAATTGTCACATACATGTTACTACTCTGGAAATACCAACAAACCAAAAGAACAAAAACAGTTTATCTTAATAAATAAAAACAAACCTGAATCCTATATAGTGTGGTAGTCTCCCCCCCCCCCCCCCCCCATTTTAATATTTGAAAGGGAGATTCCTTTTATTAATCCCAACAATAGAAAGTCAATCCAGGCTTACTAGAATTAGTGGAAGATATGTTAGAATTTGCTTGAAATAGGAGGGTTAAGGTCCTAAGACTGGAACAACGCATCTAAAAATTGAAAGGAAGCTTACCTCCGTCAATCTTAATACATGTATTGTGTTAAAATTTCACGAGATTTGGTTAAAGCAAAGTCAAATTATCACTCGGAATGTTGACGGACCTACAGACAATTGGACAGACCGACGGAGAGAATACGGTATACCATGAATCATCCCGTATAAAAATTGTGCTGATAAAAAATTGAATTGCTTTGACACATGTCCTTCTGCCATTTAGACATAAAGAGAGCTCATTTGAATATTAATCATGGCGCAAGCCGCTCCAGACAAAAACAAAATATAGAATGATATTATATGTACGCTTAAATTTCAAAAGAGGTTTTACAGTAGCTGGTGATATGAAAAATGGAGGTCCTTTCCGGAAAAACAAAATGGAGTAAAAAACAAGCCATAATATGTAAAAATGTATCTGTGAGAAAAAACTCCTTTCTATATGGTAACTTGAGCGGAAAACATTCAACTTTTGGCTGATAAAAATATTCGTGAACGTTCGTCAAATCGATAAGCATAAAAATGCACATTTAAAATGTCAAAAACTATTTTTATTGTCATTATTCATGAAAAATATTAATGTTAAACAACTTTATTGGAAAGTTTTCCATCCCGATATAGATGAATTCCAAGATAACGACCATGATTTTGTCTTAATAGAGAAACAATTTCTAATGTCCAATGGCCTCACTTTCTTCAAACATGTCTCATTTATTTGGAACTTCTTCACAAAAATACAACTTCCCTAGCCGGCCTTCAATTTGCTTAAAGAAAATGCGTGTTTCCTATTGATATTTTATTTCACCGCCAATCATCATTTATAATTATAGTATAGAAAATAGAATATTCAAAATTAAACAATTGCTGTCTTCAAAAAAATTGTGATTTTAATATATTTTGCTATTAAATTCTTACCAATTTGTCATCTCCGACTTCTCCAAAGGTATCTCTCAAAAGCTGAAGTACGTTTGGTGTATCAATCTCAGCATTCTTCTTTGGTATGCCGGTCATGTACTCTGAAAGCGCAAATATAAAATAAGGATCACTTGATCATGTACATAAATAAATAATGTTGTCGAAGTAAGAAAATGATTATGCAATAATTTAATTAATTCTATAGAATAATCAGACATTGTAATGATTTTACAAATTATTCCATTTTTTAGAAAAGAAATTGAATCGATTATCATGAGTAGATAATTATAGAATAACTAATCGAAGAATTCAAATAGAGAAAAATATTCAACGAGTGACCGAACAACACATTAATTCACGAATGCACGTAGCGCATGAGTTAATTATCAGTGTTGTTCGGTCACGAGTTGAATATTATTCGATATTTGAATTCTTTGATTAGTTATTCTTTTTATTACATTGGCAATTGGCTTTTTTTATGAAATTAAAGTAGAAAATGTAAGGAACTATACCTTTTTCTACGCATTCACAATTTGTTTTGATCCGACGTTATCGACGTCTTGACAACACGTATTGTTGTATGACGTCAGAGGAGTGAAATATCCACGTTTATTTCACATGTGAAATTATCGGTTTTTATTTCACTGAGAAATCAATGTAACTCATTGCAACCAATATAATAATAGCATTTCCCTCATTTAAAGCATTTAAAATAAGTTTAAAAACCATAGCTCTGTAATTACTAAGAAATACATTCGACCATCTCCAAAAGGAATCTACTATAGTCCATTTGACCTTTATATATTAGCAGAAAACAATTCTTAAAAATCCATTTTTTTTCAAAATCAATAACTTTGTTTTTGATGTATGTTAATATATGGTATAATAACTCGTTTAAGTTTTGAATGTTTGGAATTTAATCATGAAACTTCTTCATTTGCTATATTTCCTTTTCTTATGCCTCTTTCTTGGAAAACAATAATATAATAATTAAAATAAAACAAGACGATCTTAATTTATTCCTGAAAAAATGGTGTTGCCACTTCGTGAAGCGCTTAAATCAAGTTTTTTTTTATGGTTTTTAGTATTAAATAAAATAGAAAAAAGAAAAAAAATGACAGAAAACGGGCTTTTTATAACAAACTCGTGCAGTGGCTTCTTTTGCAATTTGGTAAGCAAATTAAAAATTTCAAAAGGTCTTTGTATTATCATATTAGATCGGCAAATTGCACCTTCCTTTCTCGACATTATCACGAAACATGCATAAAACTTAAGCTTTTTCTAAAAATACAGTATTTAATAATTTTCTGTTAAACTAGACAGAATGGTATTGCTATTAGATACACTGGGAGTTTGATGGCATGTCAATTTCAGATAAGGAAAGAAAAACATGATTGCAGAATGTATATCCAACCGATATAGTCAAAATGGTTTAAAATCAAAGCTTCATACATACATTAATGACTTACTTTTAGGTACATCGTTTTGTCGTTTGTTACTTCTCAAATGGATGCCTACCAATCCTAACAAATCCGTAAATACCCCTTTAATCAGATCGAGAATTCCAATTGGGCTCTCATTCTGGTAATTTGCACGTACTTCGGTGATACTCTGGTTCAGAATGGCAGCAAACATAGTCAACAAAATAAATATGATAAACAACACATAAACAAAGAAATATACTTGTGCAAAAGATGGAGCCGCAGCAACCATCTTGTCAAGACTGTTTCTACCTATCAACGTATTAGCCAGACTTCCGCTTGCCGTGAGCATATTATGATAATCAAACATCGAAGAGCCGAATAACAAATGACCCAGAATAACAAACCCAAAAAATCCTAATCCGAATACCACAAAAAAGCTAAATAGTTGTGGAGCAGCGTGTCGGACGACTGTTACGAGTTCAGCACATCTTTTATTATATCCCAAGGCTTTAAGAATTCTTAGAGTGGCCGTAAATACTATAATACCAATTATACTATTGAATACATTATCCCAGAAGACAATTTGAACGAAACTTATGAATCCACTTTTATCATTGTAATATCGTTTAAGTGCTCTGCTTGTTTGAATATATTTTACAATCCAGACAGCTATTGCGGCATAACTCAATACAATCGTTATTAGGTCGATGACATTCCATGCAGCTTTAAAGAAATCAAATCCTTGGTCACGAAATTTTCCAATAATTTTGACAGTTGCTATTATAAGAGCTATAATGTAAATAAAGTAAAAAAGAATGGAGAACGCACCCGTTGCATCCGTTAAGAGTGTCGGTCTGAATGATTGTGTAAATGTGTAAGCTAATACATTTCCAGTATCGGTGAACTCTACAGCAAATGTAGAAAAGGCAATCAGCTTTATGTTTGAGTTATATAATGAAAATTCAATCAATAGTGCCCTGGTCCTGCGATCCAGCCATCGGTGTGTTTGTATTTCTTTTAAGATGGTATTAACAGAATCACGGTTGTTTGGAAAATCTTGAACATAACCACCCCCTCCGTACACATCATAACCTCCAGCAAATGGCATTCCATTCAGTTCCAATGATGATCTGTATTTGTATGCATTCTTCGTTAGGAAACTGTTTTCTGCTACCGGACACGTTGAGTTCATTGGCTTCCATGACGCACAGTGATCTCGTTTTTCTTCTCTACTCGACTGAAAATCAGTTGTGCAGAAATGATTTGGTGTTAGTTTCCAATAACCACATTTTTCTACAAGCAAAAATAAATAAGTCAAAAAGTGTTGTTAACAGTCTTGTTTGAAACAGCAATAACTTAAATATTGCTTTTAAAATAGTAGGTATGTGGTTTAAAAGAGTAATGCACACTTATTAGATCCAGTATAAATATATCATTAGTTATAAGACTTGCATGGACCTTGTAGTTTTGGCACCAGATGGTATACCTAACTTTGCTTTGGTCTGAAGATGTGAATATTTTCTTTTATTCTTTGAAAATTACCAAAATTTCACATTCATCCCCGTATTATAGTTACATCCGTTTTATACACTGCAGTCATGAACTCAAGACCATGATTTGGATAGTCACGTCTGTGACTAAAGATTAACTACCCAAGGAATAGATAACCTTAGTTTATTTGGAAAAACCTTTTGGTTTTTTGGGCTTAATGCTCTACAACTTCGTACTTTATTTAGCCTTCTAAACTTTTTGATTCGAGCGTCACTGGCGAGTCTTTTGTAGAAGAAACTCGCGTTTGACAATACAAAATTGTAATCCTGGTATCTATGAAGAGTTTATTTATATGAATTTCTTGGTTGAGTTGTAATCAATTGAGAAAAGTTTTATTAACACCTGAAATAAAACACTAATGTATATTATATGTATTTGTTAAAAAAGTTTTATTTTACAGCAAGGAAACAGATATATCAATCATGGATGGATAGTTAAGCGAATGTCTTACAAGCATGTATCAAAAGAAATCATAGTTTTGTAAAAACGAAAGTGACTGACCAGCAGAACTTAAAATCGCATACAAGGTTCAATTTTACATATTAAGTTCTTGACCAAATCGTTTCAGAGAACACATTCGAAGAAATTATAAACAAAAAATTCCATAATCAGTTGATATTTCAACATCGTTAAAAGTATATTGTCGTACAGGAATAGACTGCCCGGCAGCTATAACATACTTTACATGGACAATGCATAACTCAACAATATTAAATTTAGGCCTTATATCAGATCATTCCCAAACGACGAAGCTGTGTAATTTTTAACGAAAATTACGAACAAAAGAACAGTTGGGCAGATTAACAAACGAACAAGGCGAGTGCAGTATATCAACCACTTCGTGTATGAAGCATACATTTTGTTCCTCATTTATGACATGTTAACCATTTGACCATTATGGGCTTATTGACAATAAATTAAATGAAAACATATCAGTTTTCTAAGGAAGACGTGTTGCCTGTCGTCTCAAAATAATATTAGCTCAGATAGTGAACTGTTTTGGTGTTGAAAACCTAAAAAATCGTAAAATAAGAATTAAAAACTTCCTGAACTTTAACAGATTTTAAAATTTTTATGTGGAATTCTGCCAAGATGTTTGACAGTTGTTGCGGATAAAAAAATCGTCATGTTATCAGAAATTAGCCATTCCTTTGTAAAATCAAATAGTAGAATAATAGGTACACACCTTCATTCTCTGTAGAAGAATCTGTGGAATTTTGGATAAGTTCTTTTTCTTTCCCTTATAAGTAATTGAGGATTAACAAATTGTGGCATTAACGAGGAGGACAACAATAATTCCTATGTGTAGTCACAGCTGAACGCTTTTCGTATATGTAAGAGAATGATAATCCCTTTCTTCATGAATAAGTACGAGCGTTAGCGAGTACTTATCATGAAGTAAGGGATTATCATTCTCTTACAAACTTAGAATATTGTAAAGTGCTCAAGGCTCAAATGATCTATCAATTAGTTTCGTTGTTAGTGCAATGTTTATAATTGATGCATGACTTCCTTTTTCGGCATGTCATTTATGGATTAGTTTTAGTGATGTGAGGACTTTCTTATCATTTGGGAAATATTTAAAAAAAAATGCGTTATAGATATTAGGTGACACAAAAGTAGAAAGAAAAGGTAGGAATTGTATGTTTCCTGATTGTGAGTATGAATGTAAATCATGTAATATTTTAGTGAAGAATTATCCTTTTTTTATTTACAGTTTAAATCAATACATTTGAGTTACAACTAAATTTTATTTCACAGCCAATAATTTGGTCCGGCTTTTTACATCAAATACTGGTTCATTATGTCAGGGAAATGTTCAAAAATAAAGCCCTTAAAGTTTTTAATATGTTCAAAACTAAATTCCTGTTTTTTTAATCGGAATACATGTATTGGAAATAACTATTCTCCCCAGCCGCTGATCAAGTAATCAAAGTTTTGGAAAGCTAAAGATTTAGGTTATTTTTTATCTGAAAGATTTTTTTCCTTTTTATTTGCATTGCTTTGGTATTGTTTAATTTTATAGTAATTTGAAGTTATTAATATTTTCATAATAACATTCACGGTACCAATTTTACTGCACCAGTAAACTTCAACTTATTTTGAGATTTTTGTTTGTTTCACAATTCAACTTTTAGTCAGTTTCAATCACTCTGTGAGAAATCCTTTCAATCTGATAAATGTGCTTCGGGGCAGTTGTAACTCATTTATAGAAACTCTTTGTTTTGAACTGTAAATAGACCCAAATAATAGGATAATCCCTTACTAAGAACATGATTTACATTCATTCTTCACAATTATGAGGCATCCAATCCTACAATTTCATTGGTCGAGAGTACTTTGCTATATTCTAAATTAAGATCATATAAAGATCATTTTGCTAATTACCTTTAGGCATTCTGACTTGACGAAGTCGAACCAAACCAAGACGTATGTTTGAAAGATCATTGATGTAGAATTTATCTTGTAAACTAAGACTGTCTCCATTGTATTCCTGTACTGGGTAAAACGCTGGAACAAATGTTTCGTCCATCCACTGCATTAATGTCTCCATAGAATTGACCTGCCATGAAAGTTTTGTTTTTGATTTGAAAGAAGACTCACCCTTCATTTTATATCATTTTAAAAACATTTTTGGATTTTTTACTTTGCACATATTTGGTGAATGCTGAATAGCATTGCACACAGAAAAAAATGAAGATATGAATTCCAGAGAACAAACATTTAAAACAAAAAAAGAGAATTTAAAATGTATAATCCAACTGATAAAAAGTGAAATATTCAAAAAATTTTAAGAGAAGAATTAGGTTTGTTTACTTATAATTTTCCATATTTATGTAAAAAATTTAATGTATGTCCTGGCCTTTTAGTCATACAACTTTTGTACTCGGGGTACAAAACTTATGCTCGAAACAACAAATCCAGTATTTTGATTGGTTGATTTCTGAGTTTGAAACGATAATTGTACTCGAAAGTTTCATGACGGTAAGCCCTGAAATTCAAGCGGTTCAGCTAAAGATCTCTTTATAAATTTACCTTAGAAAATCCAAATTGAAATTTGCTGGATTCATATATGTAATTGTCAATGTTTGACTTCATGATGTAAGCTCTGTTATCTCTGTTTAAATAACTAATACAATATACAATTATAGCAAAGACTGTGTATAAAATAACTTCCCGAAACACTGATTTTGCCCTCATCTGCAGCTTTCTGAGTTGCCTTTGCTCGTTCAGTTTTTCTTCCGCTGGTGGTTCGGCCTTCGATAAAACTTCATGTCTAAATGCTATTTAAAAACAAATAAGATTAAAGAAAATTCCATTATAAAATTACGACCCAAGTTGATATAAAACTTAAAAATTAAACAATTTGTTGATCACTTATAAATTGTTCTTGAAATATTTCCTTTATTCAGTGATTTAATTGCACAAACATTCCAGATTTTGTTTACATTTTCATGTAAAAGTTTTCCTCTTTAACTTATTTCTTTAAATACAAATTTAACAAATATTCTTTCATCCACTATTTCAATTTCAAACATTTATCAAACAACGTGCTTATGATTGTACTCTTTAAATCTAAAAAAAAAGAACTCTATGAACAATAGACAATTCACGGTAAACCTGCACGGACGCACAAAACATATTGCATTGCATTTCGCATTTTAAGACCAACCATGTAATTTGCAAAGCACAAAGGTTGAAAATTTCCCTTCACAACATTTTAATCCTGATCAAACTCGTCCAGAAAGGAGGAAAACATATCTTTTGGTTTGTGTCGTTGGACTGCTTTCTCATTGATGTGTACCCCTAATCTCATTTTTCATATCCGAATTATTTTCCAAAATCTCTGCATTTTGGTACTTTTGGAAACGGTTTGGATAATTGATGTAGAAACACAATTCCCATCAATTTACATTTGCTAGCTTGAAGTAGTCTTTTTACTTATCTGGCATTTATTATTTTCATACCCCCTTTTACTGCTTGGGGAGGTATATAGTGATGTGGTACTGGATCAGTCTGTCCGTCTGTTAATCCGTTGTCTATCCTTTCTTTTGTTCATTCTTCCTTTCACCTTTGTATTCTCAAATGCTCATGAGCTTCTTGAAACTTTCACAGAATCTTACTTATATGATGTACTTATTTTGCAACTCCTATATATTTCAAAAGATTTATTGTCTCTACTTTAGCATGCCATGTACTTTGTCATATCCGCACTATTGTATTTGTGACTTCTTTTGATCTTAAGTCCTAATCAGAATTTAATGAAACTTTCTCCGCATTTGCACCATTAAATACTATTTATCATATACTTGTAGAAAATAATGGGATAATTGTACCCCTTGATAAAACTAATTTATGCATATATTTATTCAATAAATTTGAAGAATTGTCTTAGCCGTGTGATATGACTTTAGTTATCAACTGTTTCCGGTATATATCAACTGTTTCCGGTTTATATCAACTACTTCCGGTTATTATCGCATCCCTTTCTTTAACGTAATCGCAAAGCATTTCGACGTCATTCTGCAAATTCCGGAAAATAAAACTCAGTGGTACGTCATTTAAGTGAAAAACATAGCTAAGTAGAATAACAGAAGGAATATTAAGAAACAGGAAAATATATCATTAAAAAACGCAAAACAAATAATACAATAAATGAATTTTATAAAGTTTTAAAAAAGTTTTCATGTCTGTATGGCTTCTGCTGAAGTATATGATAAAAAGAACATAACATGTCATTTTTCATATCAGACCACTTATCAGTCCATGGTCAAAATCATCCCTCGAGCCTGTCGGCTCTCGGGCTGATATCATGACCTAGGGCTGATAAGGGGTCTGATATGAAAAATGCCATGTTATAATCTATATTTTCCGTCTTTTTTTTGTGTCCTGATCTAAATCAATATGTGTATTCCCTTAGCAAAAAGTAAAATAAAATAAAAAAAATACCGAACTCCAAGGAAAATTCAAAACGGAAAGTCCCTTATCAAATGGCAAAATCAAAAGCTCAAACACCTCAAACGATGCTTTATATGGTAAACGATTCCTTTCTATTTACCCATTATATTCAAAATGAATAAAATATGAAAAAGTTTTTTCATTTAGTTAACTAATGTAATTTTCTTTGTAATTTTAAATCAACTGAAAACTTCAACTACAGTTAGTGGTTCTGATCATTTTTAGAAAAAATACATTACCCCAGAAAAGCCGAGAGTTTCCAGCAGAATGTTTACTTGCTGCAGACCGCAGTTTTTTCATATCAACCAGTGTTGTTTCATCATCAACGTGCTTTTTATATATCAGGGCAATTAAAAAGGCTATTACAATCACCTGAAAAAGACGTCACGTTATTTGCTGAATTTAATCGAGTTAAATATTACTTGCATTCCCAGGCGTCTATTGTACCAAATTATAAGCCTGGTATCTTGGTGAGTTTTGTCATACTACAAACAATCAAAAATTAATATACATATATAGGAAATTTAAATACTTATTTCTTTTGATACTGAAAATCCTATTCCAGAGATTAAACCACTTCACTTTAAAACACCCTTCCACCTCCGCAATCGTTTTCTTATTTTTCGCCCTTACCATGTATGAAATATTTGCCAATGGACATAATAACAATCAATCAATCGATCGATCGATCTTGTTTTTTACATCTTTTTGATGTAAAACAATATTCCTATTAAATGTAATGTGTTATATTGTCATATTTTATGTGGTTTATGTCATTAATTCATATCGGTTAATTTGTGAAATTCATTTTTATCGGTTAATTTGTGTCATTAATATAAATCGGTAAATTTGTGTCATTATCATAAACTTTATTACCTTTATCGGATCTACAAATATGATAGATTCAAAGAACGACAGTATGAACGTTGAAAGCCATTCTTCTGATTTGTTCTTTCCCCATTCCATGCTATATAGTAAAAGAAAAAACGCAGACGTTGCTGATCCTAAAACCAACACGATCCATGCAATATAAGAGACCCAGTATGGAAATTTACGCTTTTTATAGATGAGAAAGTCTTCATCTTCGGATGAGCCAGGCTCAATTTCCTTTCGTTTTTCTCCATTATTTTCTTTTTGTTTAAAACAGGGTAAGCATTTACGTTGCTTTGTTTTCTTCTGGGAATCTAATAGTTTGGTCTTTGGTTCGGTATTCCTAAATACAAATGTTGCAAAGAAAATAGGTGGAGTGGTGATTATAATACCAATGAATGATATGAATAAATTTGACATTGACAATCGAAAAAATCCTAATTGGACACTGTCTGCTTGCACTGTTTCTTCGTCCGCAGTCCTGAAAAACATTGCATTTGAAATCATGGTCAGAAGAAGCAATGTTGTTCCACAGCCAAGTCTCTGCACACGCGTAAAGACGCTTCTGGTAGGACGTACAAATAAAGACATCCATAGATGATTTTCTGTCAAGTTCATTCTTGACTGCTGATAAAACAACGATTCTACTCCAATGTCGTCTGTAATGCTAACTGGTATAATGCGTTCAATCATTCCATCATCAAAATCTATCGATAACCATTTATCACACTGAAACAGGTACCTTTAGGAGAGAGCATATATATTATGTTACTTTATAAAAAAAGATTTAATTGATTATAAGCATATTGTTTTAATGCGCGCTATAAGTGTTCTTAATATAACTCTCATTTCGTACGCTCTTGATCAAAGGTAAGGAAAGTCAAGAATATAAAACGTCTTAGGGCACACACAACACAAAGGCATTAAAAAAAATCTTAAGATGATTTTTTTTTTATCTATAGAGTTCCAAAATTTAAGCCTACGTTGTAGAATAATTATATAATATTATGAATTGGAAACTAACAGCCAAAATAAATCGTTTAAATAACGCCAGTACCGAAGCACAGGCTATTTGGTGATGGTATCCTCAGTAATTGATTTCACATCAGCATCAATATCGACCTCAGTTGTAGTAAAACACGATTTGATTTTCCCACGTGCAACACGTGTTACTAAAATTACCAACATATTGGACTCTCGCGAAAATATCTTTGGAAAGCCAAAAATTTAACAAATTTGCATAGCAGAATACGTTTACACTGACAACGCACCTAGCCTCACTCCTTACCTTCCATTTCCATCAGGAAAATAGGTCATTACCTTATTTGGCTAATCTTATTCGGTTTACTTTGGTCATACAGCTCCTAACTTTTCTACGCGTCTAAATGTTTGAGATGTCTTTATGAAGGTAAACCCAGATAAGCGCTTCAGACGAGAGAAATTAATTAAGCGTTTTTCGAGTTCATGCTATTCCTTTAGATTTTGTTTGTTACCCAGATTTGTACCTTCTCAATCAATTTATGAGAATTGAACATCGGTAAAGTACTATTATCTAACATATAAAATCAATTTTTCGTTGGGGAGTTGCAAACTTACTTTAAGTGCAGTTCCTAATGTTATGAAATTTACAGACAAAACCATGCCAATTCCAAAGAAACGGCTTCTTACCATAGTAAGATTATAGTCTTGGACATCGCCAGTGGTACCGAAATGTATTACTGTCTCCATCACAAATTGGTTGACCGATACGATGTGTCGGT